AAGTCCATACGATTGTTAGTGGCTTATCCTTCACAAGATCTGTCCTGTTCGAATCAACTGTAGATTTTATCGTCTACAATATTAATTTTATTAAGGACTAAACAATAGAATAATATGTAGAAATTTCTATGGATAATGAATTTTTTTTTTTTTTTTTTTTTGAAGTTCTTAGACTCAAACTAATCTCTAAACAAAAGGGGTGTTGCTCTCCCCGGGGGCCCATGATCTAGAAACTCCAACAAGAAAACTCAAATTTCACATGTCTCACATGTTTGAAAATTGATTAACTTGTAGGACATGCACGCACTGCCTATGACATCATAACACTACGCTTCTCTATAAAAGGAGACGATTCATTAAGTTTGCAGTTCATCCACAAATCAACTTTCAAAGAGTTTCAAAGCAGCTAGCCTTGTTTTCCTATAAATATTTTCTTTGCTTTTTTCCTAAATTCATATCTTCAAACAAAATAAGAAAAAAAAAGTGATCGTCACTTTATAGGTTTTGAAGTTATTAGAGTTATTAAAAATGGAAGCTCTTCTTAAGCCTATCAAAGTGAAAACAAATGTTGAAAATTTTACATTGGACAACAGTGAGGCAAATCAATCTCTGAGTCCAGTTGCTTGTATGTTTCATGAGCCTGATTCCAATGTCTACATTATTGCCATGATAGGCTTGAAGACAAAAATCAATGCAAAATTTGTTAAAGCAAACTTGGTGCATACTTTGCTAAGGCACTCTCATTTCTCCAGCTTGCAGGTAAAAAATATTAATTATATGCTTCACCAAAATGAGATTATGGCAGATGCATAAACGATTTCACCTAGTCAATTCCATTCATGTCTCTTAACTAACGTTGTCTTCTGAAATGTGCCATTTTCATCATAGTTATTACTAGTTAACTATGATGAAAGCTAACATGAGTATTGCATATGTATTGATATCCCATTTGGACTGTTAGATTTTATTGGGGTCAGGTTATTTTGTTGTTCACAAACATAAATCAAAGCTGGCAGGACCTGTTAAAAATATAAAAACAAAAGGCATGCAACATGGATTTTTCTCACAACTTTAAAGTTTGGTTTCCAGGCAACTTGGCCAGTACCTTATTTAGTCAATCTTTTAATTTGGGGACAAGTAAACTGAAAAGAAAGAATCAGGAGAGAATTCTAAGAAGTATGGAAAAAATGAATTCTCATTAGTAGAAGAGTCTGTCACATTCCTGTAGATACACAAATATAAACTTATAACTATCAACTAACAACTTTAACTAATTACAGCTCAGCATAACAAATTCTTAACTAACCAAGCAACCACTGGTGTACCAATTGAATCTTAACACTCCCCCTCAAGTTAGCATCTATGAGGATACGGAAGAGATGCTTCATCTTTCTTCACATCTTGGGCTTTGTTCTCAAGTTCTGGTTTTGTGCCTAGGCATTGTGTTGAGGCATTGTACATTCTGGATTTTATGCCTAGGCATTGTGTTGAGGCATTGTTGGTTCTGTCCAATTTTGTGTCTTTAGCTTTTTCCTCAGTTTCTTCAGTTTTTCTTGATTCTTGTAGCTCCTTGCACTTCTCAACATGATGGCATTGAGTTGCTCCTTTGGATTCTTCTCGATATCACTTGGCAACATTCCTTGAACTCTTCCCACTAAAATATTATGGATTTGCCCAATTTGAGTCTCAAGGTTCCTCTGATTGATTTTGAACCAGGACGTCAGTCTTCTCAAACCTCTTGCTTGTCTCTTCAATGAACTTGGTCAACACATTCTCTAAATTAGATTTTGGCTCCTGAGGTTGAAAAACAGGAGCTTGTTTTTGCTCATTGTTGTTGTTCCATGAAAAGTTTGGATGGTTTCGCCATGCTAGAGTATATGTATTAGAGTATGGATTTTGTTGCTCTCCTTGAAAATTGTTGACATAATTTGCTTATTGAGATGGAGAAAATGGATTCCCTACTTGACAATCTCTTGACAAATGATTCCCTGCACAAAATTCACAAGTTAGAGAACGAGTATCAATAGCATTTACCTTTAGGGCAACTCCTAATTACTTTTGGATGGTTGAAAGTTGAGTAGCCAACGTGGTGTAGCCATTAACTTCATGCACTCCCGCTGCTTTCCTTGTTGAATTTCTCTCTGAAGGCCTCATGTAGTTATTGCTTGCCATCACTTCAATCAAATTATAGGCTTCCTCTGGTGTTTTGTTATTCAAGGCTCCCCCACTTGCAGCATCTACCACGGCTTGTATATTTGGCATCAACCCATTGTAAAATGTTTGCACTTGCAACCATATTGGTAACCATGGTGAGGACACCTCCGTAAGAGATCCTTATATCTCTCCCAAGCTTCATAAAGTGACTCCATATCTTGCTGGAAAAAATTTGTTATGTCACTCCTCATCTTGGCAGACTTGATCGGCGGAAAATACTTTGCAAGGAACACCTGAACTAACTCATTCCAAGTAGTGATGCTTTCGGGTGGTAGAGAAATTAACCAAGCCTTAGCTTTATCCCGAAGAGAGAATGGGAAAAGCCTTAACCTAATTGCATCATCAGATACCCCATTATGTCGGAATGTATTGCATAGCTCCAGAAAATTTGCGATATGCAAATTAGGATCATCGCTAGACAACCCTGCAAATTGAATTGAATGTTGTATCATCTGAATAATGTTTGGCTTTATCTTGAAGGTATTTGCTTGAATCGGTGGTCTTCTAATACTAGAAGCACATCCCTCAATTGTAGGTCTTGAGTAATCCTTAAGTGCCTTTTGAACTTCTTCTCCACCTGTATCTTTCATTGAAACTAACTCTTCTGTACGGTCCAACACTAAAAATACAAAAATAAAAATTAAAGCACTAAAAACAAAAAACAAAAAAATAAATTACAAACCAAATTAGCAACTAAATAGCTAGTATTGATATTGATAATATAAAAGCAATTCCCCGGCAACAGCGCCAAAAACTTGTTGTTGATTTTCGCAAGTGTACGAAATCGCGCAAGTAATAAAGTGTAAGAATACGGATGTCGAACCCAAGGGAATTACTAATACCAAGTACCAATTAAACTATCCTATTACCATTTGGTCAATCAGATTTTCAGAATGATTCAATGAAAAATAAAACCAACTTAGAAACAAAATAAAAACAGACTTTTATTAACACTTTAGTAGGAAATCAATATGACTAAACCTAGGGCATAGATTTCACACCAATTTAATCCTATGCATTAACAATTATCGTTAACCCAATCAAGCTTATTCTAAAGACCAAACTCCCTAATATTTCACTAACTTTCTCTCGAACAATTAACAAATTAACTCCTAATTACTAACCCGAATTATCTCTAATCAGATTTAAGCAATTGGAGATCATTAAATTCTATGGAATTTACCAGAGCCTCACAGATCGCGGTAACCTATCTCTAGCGTTCGCTCAATTTATGGTTTTATTACCTTAGACTAATAAGGTTTCATCTCTCGATCTCAACCTAACCCATAAAATCATTCAACTCTAGGGCCCTTAAGAATTGAAAGCATTAAGCGCAATAATAAAACTTAAAAGAAAACTTAATAAAAATTAGCAACAAGTAATTCAATGCATATTCATAAAATTGGGCTACATCTTAGCCCTAGAAAATGAAATTAGTTCATACTTTCAGTAATTAAATTCATTTTATTCATAAACATGAGTATAAGAAAGAGTAGAAAAACTTCTCTAATTGATGACTCAAAATTGCAGGAATTTCCAATCTCCAAAGAGCCGCTGAACTTCTCTCTTTTTTTTTTTCCTCTAAAAATCAGCTAAAGACATCTATTTATATTCTTAGGGTTTTAGGGTTATGATTCCCACTATTCTAATCACTTTAGAACTCTTAAAATAGGAAATACACGTCATAAATTTAATGTAAAAAAGTCCAGAATTGCAGTTGTGCTGCAGCACTATGCCTAAGCATAGTTGATTTTGCCCCAGAACTCGAAATCTTGAGAAGATGGTGGTTTTTGAGTATGATAACATTTGAATCTTGTCAAGTGGTAAACATATGAATTGTAGCCTTTGAATCAGCTTTCCAATGGTTCAAGAATCATCTCAATCCAAAATCTACAGCTCAAGTTATTGTCAAATTACTGTCATATGTTTAAAACTGGAGCGTTTTCCAGGATTTTCACTTTAACTTCAAATCGCCCTAACTTCTTTGTTTCAGCTCCGAATCACGAACCATCTGATTCTTTTCATCCCACATTCCATCGTCGATATAACCTTCATCTGAATATCATCTTTAAGAACCTAAAAACACTCAAAACATACCCGTGATCCCATAAAAGACATTTATGAAATAATTAAGTTAAATTTCACAAATTAAACACATTTTTCCACAAATAATCCAATTGAATCACTAACAAAATATGTATTTTCAAGCTTTTATCAGTTAGCATCTTATGAATATTTTTCAAACATAGCTTGGACAAAAGCTTTTCATGTTGTAACCTTCCTAAGCCTTTTGTCATTATATCTGCTAATTGTTCTCCAGTTGGTATGTACTTTGTAACTATCAAGCCATTTTGAATTTTCTCCCTTATGAAGTGGCAATCTATTTCTATGTGTTTTGTTCTTTCATGAAAGATGGGGTTTGCTACAATTTGCAAGGCTGATTTGTTATCACAGTAAAGTAACGCTGGAATCTTGGCTTCAACATCAAGTTCTTTAAGTAAACCAGTTAACCAAATCAATTCTGCAATAGTTCCAGCCATACTTCTATACTCTGCTTCTGCATATGATATTGCTATGGTGTTTTGCTTCTTTGATTTCCAAGACAGAAGAGAATCTCCCATCTTAATACAGTGACCTGATACTGACTTCCTACTAACAGCACAAGAGGCCCAATCTAAATTACAGAATGCTACCAATTCTTTTGTACTTTTTACAAACATAAGCAACCTAAGAGCTGGTTCCTTCTTCACATATCTTATAACTCTCAATGTTGCTTCGAGATGTGATTATTTAGGAGTCTGCATATGTTGACTTAAAGTCTGGACAGCAAACGAAATATCAAGCCTAGTCATGGTCAGATACAACAACCTTCCCACCATTCTCCTAAACATGCTATGATCTGTCAGCAACTCATCCTTTTCATCTGGTGGAAACTTCTGATCAAACTCATATGAAGTCAGTTTTAAATTCTGCTCAAGAGGGGTGTCAGCAGGCTTCACAATAGATAATCTAGCCTCCGAAATCAACTCAAGTGCATATTTTCTTTGGTTCAAAACAATCCCTTTAGAGGACCTAGCAACCTTAATTCCAAGAAAAAAAATCTAAGATGACCTAGGTCCTTGATTTTAAAATTATATTGCAGAATAACCTTTAACTGATCTATCATTTTAATGCAACTTCCTGTTATCAAAATGTCATCAACATAGACAAGCATAATGACTATGTTACTTCCTTCTTGTTTGGTGAATAATGAGTAATCATATTTACTATGCAAGTAGCCATTTTTGATCAGGGCTTCAATAAGTTTGTGATTCCATTGTCTACTTGCTTGCTTCAATCCACACAAGGATTTGAGCAATCTGCAGACCTTGTGATTCTCCCTCTAGGTGCCAAATCCTTTAAGTAAAGACATATAAACCTCTTCATGAAGATCTCCTTGCAAGAAAGCATTAAACACATCAAGTTGGAAGAGTGGCCAAGCATGAATCGAAGCTAATGCAAGAACTGATCTAATTGTGACCATTTTTGCCACTGGGGAAAAGGTCTTAGTGTAATCAATGCCAGCTTGTTGGTTGTAGCCCTTGGCCACAAGCCTAGCTCTATACCTTTCTAAAGTGCCATCAGAATTGTACTTTACTTTGTAGACCCATTTGCAGCCAATAGGCTGTTTGCCTGCTGGGATATAGGAACAAGCTGCCAAGTCTTGTTAGCTTATAATGCATTGATCTCTGTTTGCATAGCATTAATCCAATTAGGATCCTGAGAAACTTTAGCAAAGGAAGCAGGTTCTTTGATTCGAGAGATGGAAGATAAGAAACACCTGTAATATGGAGAGAGATGATCATAGAAAACAACATCTAAAATAGAGTAATGAGTTAAAGGTGTGATGTAATCCTGCAACCAAATTGGAGGTTTGTGTGATCTAGTAGACCTTCTGATATTTGAAGGAGCAGGCACTGGAGTTGGGGATGATGTTGATGTAGGGTCAATTAAAGAAACATCAGGATTAAGACCAGTAGGAGGATCAGGATTGAAATGTGAATCTGGTGATGGTGGAGCAGGAGTTTCAGGATTGATAGAAGCAAAATGTAAGTCATCAGAAAATGTGGTAGTGAAAAGATCATTTGGAAATAATGGAACATGAGAATGTTGCTGGAACTGAAAGGGAAATATGTGCTCAAGAAATTTGACATCTCGATTGATAAAGAACCTGAAATCTTGTAGGCTTAGTAACTTGTAACCCTTTTGTGTTGAAGAATATCCCATAAAAACTAATGGCACAACCTCGAATCCAAATTTATCTCTAGAGCTTACATTAGAAGCATATGCTAAGCACCCAAACACCTTGAATTGATCAATAGAAGGAGGAGAACCAAATAGAATTTCATAAGGTGAATTGCCCTGGAGCACATCAGTAGGAAGTCTATTAATGATATAGTAGGCTGTGAGTATGCATTCTCCCAAATATCTAATTAGAATGGAGGCTTGAAATCTCAAGGCTCTAGCAACACTAAGCAAATGCCTATGCTTCCTTTCTACTACCCAATTCTATTAGGGAGTGTAGACATAAGTTTTCTGGTGAATAATCCCAAGTGAAGTGAAGAGTGCAGTGCATTGAGAGTTGAGAAACTCTAAGCCATTATCTGTTCGAATATACTTAACACAAGCTAAAAACTGATTCTTGATAAGAGTAAGAAAGCTCTTAAGATGAACTATAACTTTATGCTTATGTGTCATGAGAAAAACCCAAGTAATCGGGGAGTGATCATCAACTATTGTAAGAAAGAATTTATGATGATTATGTGTTGGAGTATGATAGGGTCCCCATACATCCATATGCAGCAGATGAAAACATGCAGGAGCTCTTGTGGTACTAATAGGAAAAAGCTTTCTTACATGTTTGGCAAGAGAACAAATATCACAATGAGAATCAACATCATCAGATTTAAAGGTTTTTATTCTAGAAAAATATTTCAGTTTTGCATATGGCACATGGCCAAGACGTTTATGCCAAAGTTGGTTTACAGAAACTGAACAAGAAACAGGCAAAGTTTTATTCAAAGCAGAAGTACTAGCCATTGATGCATGAGAAGGCATGAAGAAGTAGAGACCCTCTGATTCTTTACCAATCCCCAGTATTTTGCCATTGGAGGGGCCCTGATAATGCAAAAATCAGGATAGAAACTGCCAAAGCAAGATAAGTCTTTGGTGAGCTTTGATATAAAGATCAGATTAAACTTGAAATCTGGCACAAATAACACATTAGTTGTAATAGCCACTACTACTCAATAGATTATAATGAAATACATATAAAATAACATAAAGAAATTGGGCCCAAGTTTTTCTTTTATTAAACATATATACATACTCTTTACAAACATATGCATTTTTACACAAAATATATATAACGTATACAAAAAAGTCATCAAAACATCAGGGACAGGTAAAACACGCCTCCTCGCGTGCCGACATCCATCCGACAGTGTCCTCACCTAGGTCTGCAAAACATGGGAAAACAACGGGGTGAGCACTAAAATAATGCTCAGTAAGTAATCCTCTACTCATACTAGCCCCGTAACTCTCTTTCTCTAATTCTTTCTACAACTCCGTTCAATATCTCTTTGGGTACGTCTTCTTTTCCTCTTTCTCTTTCTCTTAGAAGCTCTTTTCTCATAACCTTTCATAAATCACGACCCCACTCACCGGGGGCACGGCCGGGCTCACTCCCTCTCCTGTGATCTAATCACTCTAGCCGATCGGACTCGGTTATGCATGGATTCGGAACCCTGCTGCTGTGAGTATGTAATCTCTCTCTCTCGGGTACTCGGGTATAGCCTCATCCGCATGCACTCTCACGGGCTACACCATCTCATCTGATACTATGCCGCGCTCTCAATGCGGCGTAACATGCGGGAATACTCTACTCATTATCACGGGTTCCATCGCACAACCTACTCATTCTCTTAACTCTTAAAGAACTTATACTCACATTCTATACTAAATCTCAAGTTACTTCTCAAGTGCATAAAACAAAGGTGTAGAGCTATCTCATGCTCCCTAATGCACTAATGAAATGCAACTACAAGATTTCCTCAAACAGTCATTCTGCACCAGTCACACTAAAACGACCATAATTAGTCTATACACCTCGGATTACTACGGTTCTGGTCTCGTTTTAAAGCTTAGAAACAGGCTACAACTTCTATGTTTTGGTCTCAGCCCAGTTCGAACCGTAAGATACTCAAAAATTACTCCGAAAATACAGCAGTGACAGGGCAGATTTCACTTAGGCATTTCCTCAACATCTCATGTGCATATAAACACCCTACGAAAATTACTACTAAACTTCATTTTTCTAGCCATCCAAATTGGGGAAAAACTCCCTCAATTACTCATAATCCCTGTCAAGAAAAGCACTCCAAAAAGGATTACACAACATCTTCAAACTTCATCTCAAACTCCATTCTCAATACACATATCAACAACACTTCTCATATTTAATCAATCCCAACTACTAAGACTAAGCACACATCTATCTCAATTTTCAGTAGGTATACCATGTACATACATAATTAAAATAAGTCTCTACTCAAAGCTTAGTCATAACTCAACTTGGTGGATTTACTTACCTTGTGCAAAGTGGGTTCCTTAGCACTTTTCCTTCCCTTTGTGGACTTGTCCCTTCTACTAACTCAAAACAACCACAAGGGCAGAGCACAACACAATAAGACCTCACTATAAATACAAGAAAACTCACATTAAAGCATGAATTCTACCTTAGGAAGCTTTAGATGAAATCTCTACTCAAAACCCCTCTTAAATCCCTAGAACTCTGGAAAATTGGGTGGAGAAATGAGGAATATGGGCATGGAAGAGGCGGTGGAATGAAATGAATAAGGGCTTTCTCTACACTTTACTCTTTTTAGTTCATATTAAAAGCTTATTTCCCATTTTGCCCTGTCCTTCTTGAAAATTCCATAATCCTTTGATCTTTACAACTACACCCCATCAAACACAATCTCTACTAAATTTCCTTTCATTTTACTCCCCACTTTTCCTACTATTAGGGGTAGAATGGTCATTGTGTCCCAAAGAAGAATTCTCTAGAAAACTCAAGAATCTTTGTTTTAGGCTCTTCGCCGCGGCGAAGCATTTTCGTCGCCTCGGCGAAATAGGGCAGAACTACCCGTAATGCCACTTCTCCTCCTCGCCGCGGCGAAGCTCTTCTTCGCCCGGCGAAAATTGGATTTCCAACTTCACCAAAACTCAACCAATTTCAAGGCAACAATTCAACCAACTCAACATACAAACTCAATTTAAGTTAAAACAATAAACTTTTAACTAATACAACAAATCTTAAATACGTACCTCAAGTGGGATATTACATTAGTCAGTTTCTGATCTGGACCAATGTTACAAGATCCAATATGTGTCACAATTGAATGATGTCCATTAGGTGGTCTAACTGTAGAAGGAGAAACTATCCACATCAATTTGTTTAGAGTATTTAAAGAAGCTGTCGTATGGTGACTAGCACTTGTGTCTAATATTCAGCAGACTCCATGATTTAAGGATGAAAAATAAGAGTGAATACCTGCCACATTGACATGTGCATCATTTGGAGGTAATGAAGGTTCGTTTTGAAGTAATTTCAATATCTCTACATACTGCTCTTTAGAAAGGATTGGAGCTGCTTGAGTATTATTTGGAGTGGCTGCAGAACTACTGTGATTGGATGATTCAGTACTGGTAACATTATTTGCTGAAGACTGAGTAAAATTCTTTCTTCTGGTGAATTTAAAGTCAGCAGGGTAGCCAATGAGCCTGTAACAATTATCCTTTTTGTGTCCCTACACATGACAATGTTCACAAGTTATATTCCAATTCTTCTTACATTTAGTTGATTACTGGTTTGATGATGAATAAAGTATTTTGGCTCAGATGAGGATTCAATAGTAGTAGCAGTGGTTAAATTCCTCTGTCTTTCTTTAGTAACTAGCATAGAATAGGCTTGGTTAATTGATGGTAAGGGTTGCATCATGAGAATTTGGCTTCTAGCATGCAAGTAAGACTCATTTAAACCCATCAAGAATTGGAGCAACTTTTGATTCTACATGTGATCTACACAAACCTTTGACATAGAACATTCGCATGAAGGAAGTTGGACAATAGACGAATATTCATCCCATAACAGTTTCAGTTTAGAGAAATAAGTGGAAATAGATGAAGTTCCTTGCACTAAGGTGACAATTTCTCTATGCAACTGGAAAACTCTAGATCCATTCACTTTATCAAATCTTTCTTTTAAATCTTTCCATACCAAATGTGCACTTGAAGCACAAACAATGCCACTTAGAAGCTCTTTTGTAACTGAATTCATGATCCAGGAGAGAACTATAGCATCACACCTATCCCACTGATTGTGCAAGCTAGTTGGAAAACTATCCTTTGTGCAGGTTCCATCAATAAATCCAATTTTATTTTAGCTAATAGTGCTATTCTCATAGATCTACTCCATAACGA